ATTTACATATTTTTTTCTTATTATTAATATAAATTTTACTTTGAAAATAAGAAATACAAAATTTTCAATTTTATATTTCATTTTTCATTATTAAAACGTTATACATATAATTATTTACATAAACGTGTCATAACACTTTATGTATAACGTACATTAAAAAAAAAGAAAAAATTAACATTGAGATTCAAAAGCTGGCAAGTTGGCTGGGGCAAAAGACTTAGCCCGCGCGACTTTGTCGATTGTACTCCTATTTGACAAGATGTCATGCTAAAGTTGTAAAAAGTGGGCGGAGCTTAGGTTAAAGGTCTGGGTAGGGGGACTTTCCCGCTCCAGCTTGCTCTATGGAGAGAGGGTGATTGCGCACTGCGCATGCAGCGAACTCCCTAAAATCTGGGAGCCTTGGCCGCGGCTCCCATCGTCTCGTTCGTCGTTTAAATACGTTATAAAAACGAGAAACCCCTCTTTTTTTATTGTCGATATCTACGTAAAAATGTCTCATCTTTCGATCTAGACTATTAAAAAAAATTCCAAAAGTTGAAGATCATGGAGCTAAAACGTGTTCTTCAAACAAGTGCATTTTTCGAGGTTATAAGAGCAAATTTTCGAAAAACTGATGCCATTACTGGAAAGCTGAGGAAAAAATACGTAAGAATATGTTTTTAGATAATTTTTTTATCAAAGTTTTGACACCGAAACGACGAGTTAAAAACGTCGTGTTTGACGCCCGCGCGGGCCATCCACCGCGGCGCTGGGACAGTTGACGTGATTCTCCCCATATACCTCACGATTTTTTCGTGGAACAAATATTTCCAGATAGAATCCTGCCCCAACGTTGGCTACCTGGGAATATCTTATACGGAGACATCAACGACATACCTTGTAAGAAAATCGATTAATTTTTTGCAATATATACCTCACAATCCTTTCACAAAATAAATATTTCCAGATAAAATCCTGCCCCGACGTTGGCTACCTGGGAATATTTTATAAGGAGACATCGATGACATACCTTGTAAGAGGAATGATAAATTTTTTGCAGTATATACCTCACGATTTCTTCGTTAGATAAATATTTTCAGATAGAATCCTGCCCCGACGTTAGCTACCTGGGAATATTTTATACGGAGACATCAACGACATTCCTTGTGAGAGGAATGATCAATTTTTTGCAGCATATACCTCACGATTTCTTCGTTAGATAAATATTTCCAGATAGAATCCTGCCCCGATGTTGGCTACCTGGGAATATTGAATACGGAGGCATCGATGACATACCTTGTCATCGGGCGCCAACCATCCACACGGATCGAAGAGACGAGCGAGTGCAGCGAGAATAGCACGCTTGGTCTGTTGCGAAGAAAATGGTGGTGGCGTGAGCAGGAATCAGTCGTTAATCTGATCCCAGCTGACGTCAAGTTCGCTGACAAGGCCATCGTTGCCCAAGTTTCGCCCAGTTGGCAGCAGGCGGACATCTTCGGGCAGGTCGTTCAGCAACTCTGGAATATTAGCGACCTATTTTCTCAGAGGGAATCCTCCTGAGTGGAGTAGGCCGATCACCTGGTCTCGTCACCTCCGAGTAGTCCTTACGTCGTCGGTGCCGGAAAGAATGTCGTCGGCATACCTCTCGGACATGACAATAGAAACTGCTTCAGGCCAAGCGTGACCTTCGTCTTTGCACAGCACAATATACCGACCGTCCGCGGCTCGGTGGTGATCGTCAAACATCGCCTCGCACTCGCTGTCGCTGGGCAATATGTGGGTGGACTGCGGCACATCCTCCAATTTCCAGAAGCACTGCATTAAGGAGACCAACTGATCGTGCCACCGTAGTGCTGTATCCTCCTGTGCAGTCAAGCACAAAGACGCCGGAGCTGGTGGGGTGGAGCAGAAGACGTGGCTCGCGAGTGCCCAGCCAGCAACAGTGCGTTGCCCAATGAGATCACAATGACGAACTAGTTCTGGTAGCAGTAGACGTGGATACATGTCCACACCGAAGAGGATATCGATGTTACCTGGAGTGCCTAACGTTGGGTCTGCCAGATCGCACGGTGAAAGCCAGTCCTCTACAATAGCATGGTGAGCTCTATTGGGGCGACAAGTGATGCGGGTCTGAGCCACAACCTTGTTGTAAACTGAGAATGTGCAGCGCGCTCACCACCAACGGCGGAGATGTTTGTGTTGGTCGGCTCGAGATGGGCGCCGAGCTTGCGGGCCAGGGTACTAGAGGTGATTGTTATTTCGGAACATGCATCGAGGAGACCTCTTGCAGTGATGTCATGGCCCCGAGGGCCCTCGAGGCGGACTCGGATGGTGGGCAGAACGGCTAGTCAGAGCCGCATGGTGTCCTCCGGGCACTTTTCACGTGATCGGAGGTAGTGCTCGCATGTGTCAGCTTCGGTGGCGGTCTAGCAAAAGTATCGGCGCCCCACTTGCAACTGTTCTCATAGATCAAACTATGATGCATTGCCTTGCAGTGCTTACACACAGATTGAGAAGGACAGAAGTGTGCCATATGCCCAGTGCAGAGGCAGTTGAAGCACAACCTCGACCGAGTGACGAGCTGTTTTCGTGCGCGCACATCCATTTCTAAAAACCGACTGCAGTGGCCAAGATAATGAGAAACTTGACAAGCTGGACATTCGGTGTCGAAATCATTGGCTTGTGTAGCAAGAGATAGGTAATTGCGACTCGCTGATGTTGGAGCTGGTGGGCGGTTGTTTGTTGAGTGTTGTGTGCGGAGGGATTCTACGGAGGTGAGCAAACGACCACGGTACTGCAGAAAGCTTGACAGAGTGGAAAACGTGGCTACAGTTTCGCTCTTTGATGCGCCTCCAGCTTCAAGTCTTTCCAGTTCATCCTCCCAGGCTTTTCTGGTCGAGGAGTCCATGCCAGTGGCAGCGAATGAGATCATCCATACATCCCATTCGTCTACTGACTGCTCGAGCGCTCGTAGTTGATCTCGGTGTTTGTCTAGAGTATCCAAAAGATTCTGTAGGCCCGCCGCGGACTCCTCACGAAGCGGCTTGATGTTCCGGATGGCCATGATATGGTCCTGAACCAACAACCGGGTGTGCTCGAATCTGGATCTCAACAGTGCCCAAGCAATGGAGTAATTAGCGCCGGTGAGTTGCAGCGTGTCCACAACTGCCTTAGCCTCGCCTTATACGTACGATTTTAAGTAGTACAGATTCCGGACATCAGTAAGACTCGAATCGTCGTGTACGAGAGCACGGTAAGGATCTCGAAAAGACTCCCAGTCCTCTCGATTACTGGACAAGACAGGAAGGCTGATATTCAGCAGCCACGGGCCATGATGCATTCCAGACTGAGAGGAGTGGCCGGTACCAGGCAGTCCCTGGCATCGTACAAAAGTGACCTCGCATCGAGGTAATGGCCTTCACCAACCACATATAGATTCTCAGGCTCAGGGGTGCCCTGTATCAGGAGTCGGTTGTTTGAGAAGTTAACCCAATAATTATTGAGTAGCTCAAGTCGTGCTTCGACCAGGCCCTTGCTCCACTGCGTGATACCTAGAACGGCGCTTGCGAAACGGGCCAGGGTATCACCGACCGTGTGCTGAGTCTTCAGCCGGACTGACGGGCCTTCTTCCTGCCTGCAATTTAAACATTATGAGCTTGACGCCTGTCTTTTAAGCAGAGCTCTACTGGCTGTGCTGCAGCTCGCTTAAAGATACGCTACGTGAGCCCAGATAGTGGAGACAATTGACGTGGCGGTGAAGAGGAAAGAAGAGCGAAGCCCCGCCCGAATGTCAATTCGGTACATTGACTCTCGCGGTACCGCGAGAGAGGCACGGTCCAAGGCTTGGGTTCCACACTCAGGAACAACGGCACTCGCTGATAGTCAGGTCACTATTCAAACGAGGCGATGCTGACGGTGGCTCAGCAGACTTGACGGTAACGCTGACTGGACGACAGTGCAGGCAACCCCGTGCCTTGCAGCATTCGTCATTAGTTGAGCTCACTAGCTTGGCTAAGTATACCGTATGGCGAGGCGATACAATAAAAACTCACTTTTGTCTTTGCACAGTACAAAAATTTTTTTTGTAATTTTTGAAAATTTTTAAAAATATAAAAAAACTAGCGGCTCCTGTCTCGGCTTCGCCCGAAACTTACAAAATGGAGCACCATAGTGTGTTGACATTTAATGTGAAACGTTTGTAGTTAGGAATTTTACATTTATTTCTGACACTTCTCAGAACAAAAATCGTCTTATTAAAAACATATTCGTTCGGAATTCGTACAGTTTACTTGGTCAAATAATAAGCAGTAAAAATTAATAAAAATATAATCTTGCTAAAAAGTACCATGCGTTCCTTATGCCTTGTTTTATTGAGAGCTTGATTTGGATACACAGTGAATCTATTACGGTTACACAAGTCGTTGCGATGGTAAGTTTTCTGCGCGTTGATAGTGAGAAAAAATCCTACATTCCCTCTTGATAGAGGCAGACAGACAGACCATTCGGATTTTGTTTTTTTGGGGAGGCGCGAGCGCCCCCGGAGAACGGCGTGGCGGTAGGAGTTCTCAGGCGAGCACGGCTCAGCTCGAGTTAGGCCGGAAGGTCGGGCAGGCGCAGAGAGCCCGGCGGTGCCGGGCAGTTCAATTTCGCATATGCCTTAAAATAATCGTTGGCCATGAAGGTACATTGGTTTGCAGTTTCTCCCGTATAATTTACAAAAAGTGCTATTTTTTAAAGCTGTTAAGATTTGAAACTCCCAAAAAATACGTATTAAGAAAAATTTCTCCTCTTATTTCACAACTTTATTACCTGAGCAACAAGGTCCTAGAGCTTAATCTGTACATTTTTAATTGCCACAAAAATACAAATACATTTTCCACTTATTTGAAAATCTTAATTTAGATCTTTAAAGATTTAAGAAATTACTGTAAGAGTACAATAAAAAGCTGATCCCTCACGTAATAAATTCTTTATTTGTCGATTTTGAAGCTGATGTTCTAATCTTGATAAATTTTCGGCGTCAGTTTCTTGACGCCAAAAATTGTATTCATTAGATACATTTGAAGTTTTCTTTTCAATTTACCCTCTTGCGGCTATTGGCATGCTTACGACTTTTGTGACCCCTAAAGGCTGTTTTCTGTCAACTTTGTTAAGTTCTAATGTACTTGTTGGCAAGGTAGTTCGACGTCCGATTGCCCTTAAAAAGACCGGTGAGCTTCTTAAATAAACTCTTTCTTAACTGAAGTAAACAGCAATTGTGACTGCCTGAATACCTCAGGGTGATCTTCTTTGGCCTGCTGTTAAAGCACCAGACTAATCAGGAGAAAAATTACAAAGTCCGAAGCTTTGAAGCTAGTTGTAGAGATTTATCCTAACGTCTTCTGGTATAACGTCGACGACGTTGGTGTCTAAAGCACTTTTTTTGCAGACTCAGTTGTTTTGGTAATCTAAGATAGAGAGATTGGTTCGTGATGCTTGCCCGTTGGAGACTGTCCCGTTGATTTAAGTTTTTTTTTCCTTCATAGCTATTAGGTTTGCCCAGCGCAGACCTTGGAGAGGATCGGGGATTCCTGGTTGAATACTTAGAGTCGAGAGGGTCACTACGGTTTTCAGCCTTGCGATAAATAACTGCCATCTGCCAGTGACGCCTGCCAGTGAATGACTGACTCAGTTTAATAGTGGCTGGCTTTATATAGTCTTTTAGTCAACGAATTGCTTTAAGAAAAGGTAGTAAAAATGTATTTGTTAGCAAGGTTGTTGAAACTTAAGTGGCCCTTAAAAGAACTGATGAGATTGATGGTTAAGTAGGGAACGTGAATATTTATAATGGCCCTAAGAAGGGCCAGTGGTTAAACTTCCAGCTATTCTGGATGATGAAGAACTGGTTGTGGGTAGCTTGACTCTTACCCTTGAAGTCTCTGTGTATGGAGACCATGATGGAGGGAGGTATGCCACTGACCAAAGGATATCTCGTCTTCGGGTCGTTCCCCAGATATCAAACCGCTTATTGTTAGCTGGAAAAGTGGATGTTACGGACGTAATGCGTTCTATAGGCTAGTTTCAGCGCGAGTTTCAAAATTAAAGTGTCTGATGCCTGAGTTATTGGAAAATGAAAGATGATTGTCTAGATGGCCCCTTGATGCCGCGTGCGGTACGGAAAGGTGGCCGTAGAACTTGCTTGCATGCACCTCATATTTATAACTGTCAAAGTTAAATTTAGGAATAAAGACTCCTTTTTTATTTTTATATTTGCACTTAAAATTGTAAGCAAGAGGCTGACCAAAGATCGGTCTAAAGGCCGATTTAGGCCAGTAAAATACCGCCAAGGCGGAGTGCCGACTATAAGAGTGGAGTCTTGCTCCGCTTGCTGTCACGCCACCCCTTGATTTCATGAGATTCCGTGCCCCAAAGTGACTGGTTAATGAGAATCGACTCGTGGGTAGGTACGTCGCTGGTTGGTCTATGCCTTCAGGCGAAAGGTACTCTGCCTCGGTAGCAGAACACAAGGTGCTCGGTTTTGCGTACCAGTCCGTCAGTCCCTCGCATCTTCACCAACCCATGTATATACACATATATGTATGCTGGCGCCGACAAGGATAGGATAGGTGAGTGCGTTTCGTCCATGCGATAGTAGATATAAGAGTGGGAGAGAAGGCGTGAAAGGAGGGAGCGGCCAGCTTGATTGCGCGGTGACAACGCTGCACACGAGTGAAAATAAGGCAGTTGAAAAAAGGTAGTCGAGTTAGGAGGTAGGTGTTGGCGCTCAGCCCAATTATTTTCTTTGTTTGAATTTCAATAAAAAACATTTTTATTTAGCCCAATCGTTTTTTGTTTGTTACCCTGCTTCCTTATCCTAGTTCTGTCACGTACAGTGGGCCTAGAGAATACCTTCTATGTGGGTATGCCATTGGTACAACTCCTGAGAAGGAAGCCGTTGTAGCTGGCCTTGCTCCTCAGGGCTGATTTTTCTGGCTTACATTTGTAGTATAAAATTCTCTGATGGCACCAGGCTGGATGGTAGAACGGCCACATATCTCTACAGTGTTGGAGCAGGTTGTGCTCTAGCTAGACATGTCTCCTGGTATTCCGCTGGAGACGTTATCGGTTTTAATAATTTTTTAATGGTGGCACTCATCAATCCGGGAGGTTCAGGGTGCAAGCAGACCTAAGTTACTTGCCCATTGGAGAATTTAGCGAAACCACTGCGAAGCGTGTTCTACGTTGTAGCTTTGGTAAGTGCCTAACCTGATGTCTCCACGCGACGCTGAATGGTAACGCCACGACACCCAATAGTGAAGGGAATCGCAATGGCGGCAAAATCAGGACTAGCTTTGCCAAGTTGAGATGAAGTTGAAAGAAATGATTGACTAAAGGTAAAGTGAAGTGGTTATCCCTGGACAAGCTGGCTTGTGTGCAAGCGTCCTCGCTTCAGAATCCTCAGGGGGCCGTCATCAAAAATGACGGCACGGGTGCGGCAAGCCCGAGTGACCCCGAGCCAGGGGAAATGAGCGCCGTTTCCTCTCAAAGACGGTAATCGAATCTCATGCTCCAACGACTTCAGCTCAGGCGTAAGCAGGAGAATACTGCATAAAAGGAGACCCGGAACCGGTACCGACCACCCGGTTGAGAGACTAAGGCTCTTGAATCCTTTTCTTTAGAAAAACGAAACGCATGAAGTACACTGCAATTGGGGGCAGCGAGTTGTTCTGGTCAAACGCCCGATACTTTGCGCAACTCCTGCTTACATAAGAGCAGATGAACAAAAATCTGTCAATGATTACAAGCAGGAGTGAAAGGCGAATAAGCTTGAAAAGTGCAAGGACCAACTGACTGACTCTCGCATGGACCCCAACGGGAGTAGCAGGGCCCTTTGCAATGTTAGAAAGAAAAAATGACTCTACTGAGGACAAGTAAGGACCACGGTCCAATTGCGATCGGAGCTGAGCCTGTCTCAGCTCAAGACCTGAAGCGCGGAAGTGCCAGGTCAAGGTATGTGTCACCATAAGTACACCACGGCCGGCCAAGCTGCTTCGTTAAGATCGTGAACTGAAAAACGGACGGTAC